CATCAGGTGGGGCAAGCCTTCACCAAAGCACAAGGTAAGGCCAGAGGAAGAGGCTATACAGCAGCACAGGTCCACATCCTGCGGAGAGCTTGCCTTAGGACAGCATGACCACTTGGCAATCCCCTTGTTTTCAGTGATGCTTCTATTAAAAGAGCTCTTTCATTTCTGTTTTGGGTGTGTTGGTTCAAGCAGTGTCTATGAAATAATGACTTAAACATGCAGGTTTTGAAGCTCTTAAAAGTTTTGCCATGAAATTTAATTAAATTTGGGAAAGATACTTCAGGTCCAACAGGTATCCATGGAGTTTTTCCAAGCCCAGAGATGAAAATCTCAGCCTGAGCTGAGTGGAAACAGAAGCTAACAGTAGCCCTCAATCATCAGTGCTTCCCATAGTAAAGAAGCCCTTCAAGTCTCTCGAAGAATACTGTCTGTTGCTGCTTCTGTTGAGGTCAGACACTCCAGAGCAGGGACTGGCTCTCAGTCTGTATGGTGCTGAGTGTACTGAGAGCCCTGATCTCAGCCACAAACCTAAGGGTGTTGCTAGAACATAAGTAAAACCAGTATTAAATAATCACAGGTGAGCTCTACCTGCCAATTCAGACATGCTCTAAACAGGAAGCCTCATTGTACTGGGCTGTGGATTTTACCATCTCCAGTGAGGCTTCTGATTTTTCCCTTTTTATGCATATTAATTACATTTTTCTTGCCAGTGCTTGAAGCCATCGTGACAGTGTATCGGGTAATGACAGAATAATTGTTTGTTTCATTGATCATTATAAACCATTCTGCATCTCTGCACGATTTATAGCATTTAAAATACTCTCTCCTTTCCTCTCCACTCCCCTGCCGTGGGGGCAGCTGAGTAGATCAAAAGCCCACTGGCTATGAGCAATCCAATTAACAATGACAGAAAAGAAAAAAAAAACACTTTGGGAATGATTGAGTCCTTACACCGTTTCTTTGATGGTTCCCTATTGATCCTTTCAAGCCACAACGAACATAGATATGAAACAGAATTGTGAAGAAATGAAAGTGCAGGAATAACAACGAAGAGGAAGGAAGGAATGCTGGAATGCAAGGAATGGGCTTTTTCATTCAAATTCAGACTTTGCCACCAAGATGTTGTGCTAGCATACCAGGATGCCAGTGTTACATTGCTGGGACAGGACCACAGGCAACTGCAGCACTCTGGTGCTTAGCCTGCAGTCTAACAGCACACTGATGCCCTACCATAAGCAACATCCTTCTGTAGATTAATCAGAGCAGCTGATGGAGGCATAGCTCACTGTTACAGCAGCCTACTGTGACATTGGCCCCATGTCCCATGACAGAAAAAGCTGAAGCTATCCATTACAACTGAAGCCTTATCCAGCCATTCACTTCCTGCCAGCTGGACTGAGATCCTTTTATATGTGCATTCCACTAATGTTCTAGATGCTTTATCTACAGTTTACCCGATGGGCACTTACCCAACCACTAAATAACCCATCCAACTTCCTACTTACACGGTTTTGCCCCAGTCCTCCAGAAAAAAACACCAGGCACCATCATAAAGGCAGTACAGTATTGACACCAAGAATTTTTATGCATTTATATCTGAAATTACAGCAATTTTCTCTGTAGAATCAGGGTTTTCAGCAGCAAGGTGTAAGTAGATGTCAGCATGTCATAAGCACCCTGCTATTCACACACAGCTAAACAGTATGAGGTGCCCCAGCAGAATGAGAAGGGGATCACAGTACAGAATAGGCATATAATCACTGGAATAGGTGGTGCTTGCCTGACTCCTACCTGGTAATACCAGAAGAGACAGGAAATGGCTCATTTACATACCTGAAAATTCACGAGAGTGTTCTGGGACTGTCAAGGAAACAACTAAGACATTAACAGGGAGCTGGAAGAGGTCTCTTATTAACAAATAGATAAATATTGAAGTGGATAAGGAGATGCTGGATTTTTTCCTGCCTTTTCAGCAAATTGGTTCAGAGAGGAGAGGAGAAGTGAGGGAAGTTTCCCCTTAGCCATTTTTTTTCAGGTTACTGAACCACGAGATAGAAATCTAGTAATGCAGAGGACTAAGGCAGGAAGAACTCCTTGGAAGCCTTATTCCACCTGATATTGTGATGCAAATGATAGAATGGGGCACTCCTGAGATGGTTCCTCTCCACAAGTATATCTACAGTGAAGTGAGGAATGTGACTGTGGCCCATGTTGGCATTCTTCAGTTAGTTCAAATTTAGACAGCATACAGAGCAAAAGCAATGCAAACACAAGCACAGTGTGGCTTTACCCTATGCAGCGTTCTTATTAAAGACTGCAGCTCCTGTGAAATGCCTGCATTATGACCCCATTTTGACTGCCATCTGGCTGAAGATGGCTTGGTTACACCTATACACCACGGTCAGAAGGCAGGGCAAAATTCCAGATGGAACTTTGATATTCACAGTATGCACTGAAAATATTAAAAGAAAAGCTTGTCATCATGCTCCTCTGGCCTTCCAGGATGTGCCATCATGGCACATTTGGATATTGGCTCATTTTGAATGTTGCTCCCAGTTCCCAATCACTCTTACATTCAGGATGAACATCTTACATGGGTTTACTTCATCAAGCCCTGATTTTTCACATTCCTTTACTTTCAAAAAAAGAAGGAAAAAAAAAAAAATCAACTCTTTTCCAAGGTTTACTTTTCCTGCCACAAGACACTGGCATGACAATCAAGAAATCCAAGCTATGAGCACCAGACAGAAGATTTTCTCTGAAATACAGTACTACTTTATAGCAATCAATAAAGCACTAGAGTAAACCCAAGCCTGCAGTGGAAATTCTCCCAGCTAAAACTGAGCTTACCATCAGCTAAGATGCCATCACTGGAGGACTTAAAAGCATACATCAGAGAAGAAAGTATTCAGTTACTGCATCAGTTACATCAATTTCTGGTTGCCTTTGAAAACTCCAATCTGCTAAATATTCCCTGTCCATTGTCTGTTTCCCTCTCCTTGCTCACGAAGAGAAAGGACAATAAAGGCTTCTGAAATTCTACAGAATAGACATGTCTGCAAAATCTCCCTGTTGAGTACATGTAGCACTTCTCAACAAAGTGAGCTGGTGCCATCAAATAGGAAGACGCTTTGGAGGGAAGGGTCCCAAGCATAGAAGACTCCCATTTATTCCGTTCGGCTACTTAAAACAATACCAGAGTCATAAAGAAGTCTCAGGAAACAGCACGAATCAAACCCTGTTGGTTTGAATTCAGTGGAAGGGAAATTTCAGTCCCTTGAATGGTTTCATAATGCATCAGGGCACATCAGAAGCGAAGGAAACAGTCTGGCAGAATTGCATTAATTTTCATGAACCCAGCAGCCCTGGAAAATCATGAAAACTGCAACATAATGAAAGCCTGCAAGGGAAAAACCTGCCCTCTTCTTCACTGCTGGAGAATCTGAATGCGGATTCCATCAAAGGAGAGAATCTGAGAAACCACAGCAGGAATAAAAATTAACCCTTTGGCTCATGGGACTGCAGCATAGAGGAGTCACCATTCTTCCAGTCACTAGTCTGCCAAAAGAGATAAACTCCTGTATGAGAGCTGGCCATCTCTATGCAATTAGACCTTAGCACTCTGCATGATACAATGAACTGCTGCCAGCAGGAATTAAGGAAGACATTTTCTTCTATCTCCACAGTATTCATCTTCTGCCCTCATTTCTCAGTCTGTCACACTGATTTTTAGTAGGAACGGGATGCATGTGTTAGATTGATAATGTCCTAGCTGGATGAACGATGCTCCCAACAAAACAAACAAAAATACAGTTCCTCGCTCTTTTGCGTGGTGACAAAAAACATACATCAAACCTGTGTGCAGACTCCTTCCAGATTGTGTAAATGGGCCTATCCTTTCACGTATTTCAGTCTCCTGTATTTTATTCAGTAGTTGCACCCCTAAATACAAAAAGCAGGAATTGTCTACATGTTACTTCTATTGATCCTGAACAGAAGACTGACTTAAATTCTGAAAACGATCCTAACACATTGGATTTACATATTAACTATTTCATGCCTACCTCATACTACTATATTGTGATGAAGAAAGTTACACCACCGACTGTAAGCACAGACTGCATTCTGTAGGGCCTACAAACGTACCTTGGTTTCATTCCTGCTTCTGCTGGTTTGAAGCAGCCAGCAATTAGCTAACAGCAGTTGCTCTTCCGGGAGCTTTGCTGACATCATCTCCAATGCCAGGGAACAAACAAAGCTCTTTTTGCAGGATAAAAAGCACAACATGCATTGAGGTTGTTGTTGTTAAACAAAAATAACCAAGCTAATTTCAGCTTCATTTAAAAGCATGGGAAATAATCATTGCTCAGTGAATGGGAAAAGGACAAAATCAGTATAGAGAAAAATCATTTGCAGGGTCATGAGAGACTTCTACAAGCAACAAGCACTGAAACTATTTTTAATATTACTCAACATTGCCCTTTAAATATCTACTGCTCCCTAGTACAAGGGTTTGGGAATCTTTCAGTTTCATCAATTTCTTTCATTTTCTCCCCTTCATCTCTTACAATAAAGATTTGCAGTTAAATGACGTCATTTATAAAGCATTGATTGATCAAGTGACCTGCTCTCCTCAAAAGAATTTAGCCCCCCTTGGAAACCCACTCAGAACAGCAGATCATCACCACACTCAATGCTGTCCATTTACAAGGAAGAGACATCCCTGATTTAACTGGCAGATGTGCAAGTGAGACCCAGAGAAACTGCCAGCCTTGCTTCAGTTTATCTAGAGTGCTAATCAGGGAGAAGGGATTCTAGCCACAGCCACTATCCAATGCCTTAACCAGAAAACCAATGTTTTCACAAGACTTTGATCTTAATCACACTGGAACGAGCCCAGAACTGCTTCACTGTCTCAGTACAGCGCGCCTGGAGATACCATTGTAACCCTAAAGATGATTTTGCTCAGAATGATCAGCTTTCTGCTGACCACAGCCTACCTCATTTGCTTTCCTCCTGGTCACCACATTTCCCATCTGCTGACCTCCAGAAGAGCCTTCTCAGGAGCAGAACACTGGGATTTCTCACTGCCCTGCACTTCAAACAGAAACACTGCTCACAAACAGGCATTTACCATAACCCCAAGGTGCACGAGGCCTCTCGTGACCTCCCACCCGCGCCACAAAGCAGGAGCTAGACTCAACCCCTTCAACAGCTCAAAACAGAGCATGGGCTTGGCATTTGAGCTACAGGAACACCCCCAGACAGGGCACGGATCACAGAACAGCTGCCTTGTTTAAAGGCCTGATATCAACCTCACCCACCAGGTATTCTACTATGGTTATTCTCCTGTTTCCAAGGGAGACACAGCTAACCTTCATAAGGGTGGACTGGTTTCATCCTTTCCCTTAGGAAGACTACTGCTCCTCATCCCCCCTCCTTCCAAAGGCCCTGAGAGAGGCTTCTCAGTCAGGGGCCCTGTCTCCTTTGTACTCACCAAACCCATACAGCAACACAGCTCTGCCCCTCCAAAGCTCGCTGCTGGTTCTGCTGCCTGCTCTTCTCCCTTCCACCACTGCTGTAAACTCATGACAAGCCTGATCAGCTCCCCTCAGTGCCGCCATAGCCTTCCACCCTTCAGGTGGTTCCTGGACAGCTGCTCTCCCCCAAACCCCCTGCCTCATGGCTTTCCTGCTTTTAAAGGGTTGCCCCCACATGGCCTCAGGGCTGATCCCTTAGAGGGGCTGTGCCCCTCAGACCTTCTTATTGCTCAGGTGGCTGCTTGCCTCAGCATTTGGGAACCTTTTCCCTCTCTCTGAGCAGCTATTCCCTTGCTGTTCCGGAACATTCTCTCTCTTTCTGAGGGGCTGTTCTCCTCACTGTTGTAGATCCTGCCCTCTGTTTCTGGGCCTTTGTTCCCCTCACTGTGCACAAGGCTCCTTGTCCATCCCTGAGGAGCTGTTCCCCTCACAGTGCTGGGGCTCTCTGCCTGTCTCTGAGGCACCATTCCTCTCATGGTGCCGGAGTGCTGTGGTGAGCTGCCCCTACCAAGACAGGAGAAGAAACCCACCCAACAGCTGGACCCTGACATGGAGAGGGGCCGGCGCTGCTTCTCAGCTTGGGAATGGGAGCCTCCAGGTGTGTTTGCTGTGAGATGTCCTCTCCCAGGTGAGGAAGGCAGGAAGCTGAGCGGCACGGGGTAGGCGGGAAGCTGAGGGGCACGGGGTAGGCGGGAAGCTGAGGGGCACGGGGTAGGCGGGAAGCTGAGGGGCACGGGGTAGGCGGGAAGCTGAGGGGCACGGGGTAGGCGGGAAGCTGAGGGGGCACGGGGCAGGCCCTCAGGCAGGAAGGGGTGTGCAGCGTAAGGGCTGGGTAAGTGTAAGTGGGTGTCCGTCGGGGGGGGAATGACCATGTGTTCATTTAATTTTATGAAAATTTATGTATATTTATGTAAATTGATGTTAAGTAGATTCTACTGATTCTCTGGTTTCAAGTTTTGGAAGGTATGTGCTAATGCATATAATGCACACTTAAAGCTCTCCCTCGAGGCACTCTAACCCAGTCAGTACGTTACTACACACACAGAAAATGTGCTTTTAGGTGAGCCAGAAAACTGAGGTATCCTCAACTGTTTAAGGTTTTAACATAGCTGTTAGGTGTATTTCAGCTAATATTGTGGCCAAATTCCACTGAGTATAGTTACACCTCAGTCTACCTACTCAGCTCTCCCACTGGCTTTACCTGGTAAAATGTATTTCTGTTTTCTCCTGGCATGCAGTATTAAATATCTACTGCTATCCCGGAGAGTAATACATGGATTGGCTGTTTCCCATGTCCGGAATGTGCCAGTCCTTGAGCTGGGAAGGTTTAAGGGAGCGTGTGTGTCCCATCTCTGCCTCGAAGGACCATGGAAGGGTCAATTAGATAGTACCAATTTTAATTTGCATGATGAGTTTTCTCCTGCTTCACTCTTGTTTTGTCAAGGTGCCCAAAATGGCTTCAATTTCTAGAGGGGCTTGTTCTAAGCCTAGAAATGTTTGTGAACTTGATTTGTAGCTCTCTCTATATAGCAATGCCTGACTATATGGATGTATGGAAAGTGACTCTCTAACCAAATAATCAATGGATGTTGTTAGGTTACTGAATTAAGGCTGTGACAGAATTCAGGTGGTAAGGAAAAGCTCTGTAATGATTGTTCTGCTAAATATGTCTTCAAACATGCAGCAGAACCCATTCAAGCTTCCTTTCAGAGCTGGGACCAATAGGTAGCAATACTCAGAAACTATCAGGAGCTGGATGTGGCAGAGGGCTACAAAAGACCCCATCAAGTGCTGTTGAAGGTGACATGAGCAGAGCACAGCCTCTTGTAAACTGAAGAGAACTTCTCTGTTGTCTCATCCATTGCAGTTGAAATAAATTACAAACAATACAGAGTTGAAGGATTTGATTTGATTCAGAGTTTCAGAGCAAATATTAAATAGCCTAGAAAGTGGAGTGTATGCCATGTTTTATATTCATAAGCGTGTTTTTTTCTATGTGCATTAATTTAGTCACATAATGAGTGACTAAAATCTTCCCTTTTCCCCAAAGCACTTTTAAAAATTACTACTAAATTTCCAGATATTCCTATGTGCTCTCTAAAAGGAAATAAAAATGCAATTAAAGGGAATGCTAATTTCCTCAGGACTAGAACACACAAGAGAATGGATCACGGCTCTGTGTTTGCTCCCAGTCTGCTTAGTAGGTCTGGGCAAATTGGCTCTCCATGCTTGTTTCCCTTCTTCTAAAATTGAGGTAATGTCTCTAACCTTCAGAAGGCGTTTTAAGACTTAAATGGTGAAAAGTGTTGTTGAAGTGTTAGATACTATTAATGGTTGTCAGGATTTTAATTGAAAATTTTAAAAGATAAGAGTTTAGACATCAGAAATTAAGGCTGTACCGATAACTGCAGATCCTGTGTCAAGCACTTCTTTCTTCTACGAAACGGCTTACAAAGCAAATTGTTCTGATGGTATGTCTGCAGTGTGTGAACCAGGGTGATGCTTTCCAATGAAAAAAGGAAATTAGTCTTTGTTTCTGTGAAAGTCTTTGCTGCTTAAAGGAGATACACTTTGGGTTATTTTCCTTAAAGAACAATCTTAAGTTACTGATTTGTTCATTACAGACTACTTCTGCATGTTTTCATTGTAGAAGACATTCCCCTAGTTCAGAGATTTTCGTAATCAGCATCTTCAGTATTTGTAAAAATCACTTTTTCCAGCTTTTGAACTTTCATATTCTGAAAACATGTTTAAAGAAGCCAGAATTCACCTATTAAAGTGAACAGCTCTCTCATGTGTAATGGCAGTAGAGAAAGCCTGAGAACTGTATGGATTGCCACAGGTGAAAGAGGGTTGATCTTCCTGCCTTCACTAGATAAGTGGAAATTTCTGATTAGAGAGATAGTACTTTCCTGGCAACTGAGGCATGATTTGGTCTAAATTATTTAATAATAGTCATTGGTATTGACACTTCTCATAATTTTATTATGTCTGGAAATATTTAGTGGTTTTATTAAATTGATATAATCTGGAGTCAGATTACCTCAGCTTTTATCTTTCAAGAGGGTGTATTTCCAAACTTGATGATAGCAAAATAAGAAGCTTGCAGATGTGTTCAGTATGTGCTATTAAATGCTGAAAGTCATAAAGGGCTATGAAGAAGCTCTGGTATGTGTACACGTTTGTGTGTAACAATTTTATGACAAATGAAGCTGGTCCCCTGGAATAGAAAAGTAAGCTCTGCCGTGGTGTTGTGTTGTGTAGTTGTGTTGTCTGCCTTGGTCAGTACAACCATATTTGCCTTTGTAAAGAGGAGTCAGCAGGAACTACAGCTTTCCCTGGCATCCTCTTGGATGCTGTAGCCTCCTCAGACTCTTCCCCAGGGATTCTCATTCAAAGGTTGACAGAAAACTTGAATGCTGCTAAAATAATTTTTCCATTTCTTCACTGGAATAATTTTCACAGTGACTAAAATACTCTTGCACAAGTCATAATCTTTTATGAGATGTGTCTTGGATTATTGCACTGATATGCAATATATTAAAAGGATTTGCCTCTGATTGTGATTGGCCTCCATCCTGGCCAACACAGCAGGGTTTGAGCTTGATTCTTTAGAATTAACAACTGCAAGCTGCTGTTGTGGGAGTTCAGGCTCCCTCAAGCCCATATTCTCTGGTTGGGCACAGAGGGGACTTGTAACAGATGCTCTCCCCTAGGTTACACCATGACATTTTTTTGATCCTTAGAATCATAGAATCCTTCAGGTTGAAAAAGACCTTTGTGATCATTGAGTCCTTCCCCTGCTGGTTTGTTCCTTAGACATTCCCATGTGTTTACTCATGGAATGGTGTTGCCCTGGAGTGTCATCTGTGACATTTTGCTGGAACAGAGAAGCGGTTTATTTCACAGGTTTGTCCTTTCAAGAGTTTAAGGATGCATGTGTATTAAATGTGAATCGGTGTAAAAGAGATTACCACTGCAATGGTAATGCTGGGCTAAATTACCCCTGGAGCCGAGAGCCAGAATCTGTATGATTCTAGTCCTTTGGCTCATTCTTTGGCATTTCCTTGAGCAAATATCTAGCCTAACACACCAGATCATTCAGCATGGGCCCTAAAGAAAAGCAATCATCCCCATAGATCTTTGGAGCCATCTGCTTTCTGAAGGGATATCCCTATCCTCAGATTTAGGAAGTGATCATCATGTCTGCATAAATCCAATGGCCTTAGCTTAGCATCTAACTTGCATCCAAACTGTATTGTTGAGAGCATAGCTTCATGGTACACAGGGGCACAGGTTCTCTGCACATTTCAGCTGATTTCTCTGGGTCATAGTCTTCCCTGTCCTAGTACAGTGCACTCCATCTCTCAACCTCATTTTTTCTGTTTGTAAAATCTGGTGTGTCCCTACTCTACCAAAGAATGCACTGGAAAGACCTAAATAGAAAGGCTAATAATGCTCTCTATTTTACTCACCTCCCAGGGGTCTAGGAGAGTTAATATCTGCACAGTGCTTTGGCAAGTATAAAAGCGCTTAGCTTCATTATATATTGATTTATGTACAAGAAAACTGCACAAAATAATAAAACATGCAATGTACTTAAAATGCACTGTAGGCAGAGGAGAGAAACATCCTAAATCTAACCTTAAAATATGGTGCAAGTCATGTGAATGAAGTACAGCTAGGTG